TTCGGCATGAAGATGCGGTAGGGTGTAGGGCGGGGTTGAGTCCACAAGCCGAAGTTTTGCACCACTGAGAGTACGTACCGCGGGGTAGATGTACTGTACAGATGTACCCCACTACATTGCGCAATGTATAAATCCCCCGGACCTGCTCTTGCTAGCATACTAGCTAGCACTTCCTTTCCCACAAAAGCTTAACCACACCGCACCGCCATCATGCAGCCCGACCCCTCCTACACAGTCCCCCTCCTAATCGACTCCAAGCCCATTACCGGACCCAAAACCTTCCCCGTCCACAATCCTCGCACCGGCGAACACATCTGGAACAGCACCGCCGCGTCCCAAGCCGATGTCTCTGCCGCCGTCGCCTCTGCCGCCGCCGCTTTTCCCGCATGGAAAAAAACCACCATCCCGGCCCGTCGGGATCTGATCCTGAAGGCCGCGCAGCTCCTAGAAGAAAGCGGGCCCGAGATCTGTGATGTGATGAAGCTAGAGACCGCGGCGGAAGATAGTTGGTGTAAGTTGAATCTTGCAAAAAGTGTCGCGATGTTGAAAGGTGTCGCGGGATATATTACTACCATCGAGGGACGACTCCCACCAAATGATGATCCCAACGTTACTTCTATGATCCTGAGAGAGCCGTATGGCGTCGTACTTGCTATCGCTCCTTGGTATCCTCCTCCTCCTCCCTTCCTCTCTGCGTCACTAACCCCCCTCTCACCAGGAACGCCCCGATCATCCTCTGCTTCCGCTCAGTCCTCTACCCCCTCGCCACGGGCAACACCGTAGTCCTAAAATCCTCCGAACTCTCCCCGCGCACCCACTTCCTCGTCACACAGATCTTCCACCGCGCGGGCTTCCCAGCCGGAACCGTAAACCTCATCGGGCACACCCGCGAGGACGCCCCCGAAATCGCAACCGCCCTCATCTCCTCGCCCGAAGTGAGAAAGGTAAACTTTACCGGCTCCACAGCGGTAGGGAGAAAGATTGCGGAATGTGCCGGGAGGAATTTGAAACCTGTTATGTTGGAACTTGGAGGGAAGGCTCCCGTTATTGTCTGTGAGGATGCAGATATTGAGAAAGCGGCTAAGGGAGCTGCGTTTGGTGCTTTTCATCATGTACCCACCCCCCACCCCCCCACGGTAAAGACAATGCTAACGCACAAAAGGCGGGGCAAATCTGTATGTCTTCGGAAAAGATCCTGGTCCACAAAAGCATCTCCGCCCCGTTCACAACCGCACTACAAGCCGCCGCAAAGGCAATGTACGGCTCCTCGCAAATCCTAATCCAAGCAGTCGGCACAAAGCGCGTTTCTGAACTCCTTTCCTCGGCCGCTGCCGCCGGCGCTACCCTCCACCCCCAGCCTGAAAAATACCAAAACCCAAACGAACACCACAACGTGATCGTGACAAACGTTACCACCTCCATGGACCTATGGCACACGGAGAGTTTTGGTCCGGTGGTAATGGTGGTGGAATATGAAGACGAGAAAGAGGCGATAAAGATGGCGAATGATACAGAGTATGGACTTAGTGCTGGTATTTGGACAACGGATTTGGCGAGGGGGATTAGAATTGCGAAGGAGATTGAGAGTGGGTAAGTTATTCTCTGTGACTGAGTGGGATGGGGGATGGATGATGGCTAACTGGGAACAGGGCGGTGCATATTAATGGTGTGACGGTATATGATGAGGTTGCGGTGCCGCATGGTGGGGTGAAGAATAGTGGTTTTGGAAGATTTAATGCCATCTGGGGGTTGGAGGAATTTTGACGACCAAGACAATTACATTTAGGCTTTGAGAGGAGGGAGATTTGTAGTTTATGATACCTAATGCTCGGAATGTTTTGATGATCATAAATGGAATGCGAATAGCTGACTGGGTATTTCTTGTCCGCGCGCAGTAGTTCCAATGCAGTTAAACTCCATAGTGAGCTTTAATCCCACCAAATACCCCTCACCCAGTGTGCATGAAAAAGAGTAACCACAGGTTTGGAGCCTGTGGGACGGTAGGTTTCGAACCTGTGTTGTGATGTTTCTGGGACCAATGAACAGTGCAGGTTTCGAACCTACCTCATGCTGTTTTTGGCAACATGCTTGCTTTCTAGGCTCGTATGCTCATTCCCGTTGTAAGTAGTGTTCTCAGACTATTAAATCACAAAAAAGACATAAAAGTGACGACTAAGGTTATTAGCCTGTAAACTTGGTACCAAGTACGAACTTGAATTTCATGATCAGCTCTGGTCATATATAAAAATTATAAGCAAAGCCCGTAATCTGCAAATTGCAAAATGTAGCCGCCCGAGCAAAAGGAGATTTCGAGTCTGCGACGTTTAGGTAGTATTTACAGTACTGTACATAGGCTTCGAGCTCAGCTAACAAGGTTTCTAGCCTGTAATTCCGTGTTTATAGCACTGTAGGTTTATAGCCTAGTGTTTATAGCATTGTTGGTTTCAAGCCCAAGTTTTGAGCCTGTGATTCCAGTGTTTATAGCACTCCAGGTTTCGAACCCGCCCTAGTGTTTACAGCACCCAGTGTTTCCAGCACCATGATTGCCCGCTAAGCTAAATGCTCAGCTGTTACATACGAATTGGTTTCATTCATGGTAATGTACTGTAGTTTCTGGTGTCCAGACTAAAGATGGATGGTGCATCGGTGTGGGGACGAGAAAAAGGATTCGAGTGTGTGATCGGTAAAGAGGATGCGAAATTAAAAGAGTGATCTCGGCAAGTTTGGAGCCTGCGATCTTATTGTAAGGGTTTGAGCCTGTGATTCTAGTACTAGTGTTTGTAGCACTGTAGGTTTCAGTGTCCATGGCCAGGTTTCGAACCTGTTATTCGGTGTTTTTAGCATCTCAGGTTTCGAACCTATTATTCGGTGTTTTTAGCATCTTAGGTTTCGAACCCGTGTCTAGTCTAGTATTTCCAGCACCAGGCTTGCTAGCTAAGTTAAGTACTCAGCTGTTATACATGCGTTGGTTTCGGCCATGGTAGTGTGGATTTCTAGTGTAATTTTTTGAGCTGCTGCAAAGCTCGGCGACGACGGGTTTCCTCGTGCCAAAACTAAGGTAGATACGGATGGTGCATCCAGCTTAGAGCAGAGCATCCTCGTCTGGACACGAGAAAAAGGCCCAGGGTGTACAGGTTATTCGTTGAGTGTACGACTGGTAAGAAGGGCAAAAGAGTAACCTCTACAAGTTTGGAGCTTGTGATTGTAGTGTTTATAGCACTGAAGGTTTCGAGCCCGCGGCATTTTCTACGCTATGTCTTCTATCAAAGCCAAGAGATCTCTTATTGTTATGATGGATGCTCATTCCTGTAGTATCGGATTCCAAGCCCAGACTATTAAAGCTCACCGAAAAGACCAAAAGCAATTTCCGGGGGTTTTCACCTGTGAGCTTGGTGTTTATACCACCATTGAATACTGCAAGTTTCGAACCTACATCACGCTGTTTCTTGCAGCAGTACCACGTCGTGACGATTAAGCTAGAGATCACCCTTTTGCTACCCGTGGAGGTGAAGGCAAATCATATCGCTTTTGTGTTCCTGCTAGCGAGTGATGGTTGTGGGGAGTATATTTACTTTGGAGTCTTCTGCTCCTTCGCACGCACGCACGATCTGGTGTACCAATGATTGGGCCCCATCATAACTTCTCGCCCGTGATCGCTGATCATCGATATTTGTCACGCAGGTTCGAATACAGGAAGTAGGAAGATTAGAAAAGATTTTGACTTTGCTTTTATTTGTTATATCCGCAGCGGAAACCCCCACGTGCGTCGGAATTAGGGATAGGGCGATCCTTCGTAACGGGGGAAGAACATGGTTGGTTCATGCACGGCTGATAGCCGTTTCATGGTCGCTATATCCGCGTTACACAGGTTCAAATCGGCATGCATTCAGGCATCTATCTGTACCTCGATATCCGAAATCCGCGATACGGGGGAACCGTCGTCATACGTCATAGCGGGGGCCGAGTGAAGAGGGTATTAAAGCGGCCTTCGGACACGACTACTATCTTCTCAATTCACACTACCAAATCATCATCAACACTTCCCATCATGTCATCCCTCACCGGCAAAATCGCACTCATCACCGGCAGCAGCAAAGGCATCGGCGCCTCAATTGCACGTACCCTCGCCGCCCGCGGCGCAACAGTAGTAATAAACTACGCCTCCTCCTCCGCCGCAGCCGAATCTGTCCTTGCCTCCCTCCCCCGCCCCGAAACCCACCTCTCCATCCGTGCCGACGTCTCGCAAGTCTCAGAATGCCAGCGTCTCGTCTCAGAAACCGTCGCAAAATACTCCCGCATCGACATCCTTGTTCTCAACGCAGGCTGGATGCCATCCGCCGACCTCGCTGGAACAACAGAAGAAATCTTCGATCGCTGCTATAACACAAACGTCAAAGGCCCGTTCTTCATCACCCAGGCTGCAGCCCCGTATATCCCCGAAGACGGCTCTGGACGCGTGATATTCTTTTCGACGTCGCTGACGAGGGCGAGTACGCTCACGCCCGGGTACACGTTGTATGTGAGCACGAAGGGAGCGGTGGAGCAGATGGTTAGGGGGATTAGTAAGGATTTGGGGAGGAGGAATATTGCGGTGAATGCTGTTTCGCCGGGTCCGACGGCGACGGAATTATTTTTTAATGGGAAGAGTGAGGAGACGTTGAAGATGATTCGGGGCACGAATCCCAGGGGCAGGATTGGAGAGCCGGAGGATATTGCGGAGGTGGTGGCGTTTTTGAGTTCTAAGGAGAGTGGGTGGGTTATGGGGCAGAATTTGAGGGTTAATGGAGGGTTTGTGTGAGGGGGGATGGTAGTGGATGATGTTGGGGAGAGGCATTTGTTTGTTTTGTGGGTTAGTTTCGATGAATGGTATGGCCGAGGCCACAAGTTTAAAGCCCGTTGCGCTCACTCTTTTATCCTTTGAGACCTACGTTTACGTAGCTCAAGTCGTGGAACCAGTCGCAGTCCATAACTACATGGTGGAAATCAGTACATACACAGCCGATCAGTTAGCTTAGCTGGCTGAGCCTGGTGCTACAAACACTAGGCGTTATAAACGCCAGGTGCAGGTTCGAAACCTGCAGTGTTATAAACGCTCAAGTTGCAGGCTCAAACCAGCGACTCTTTTGCTGTTCCTTCCTCCACCATCGGTACCGTATCTACTCGTACATAGCACAAAGGGTCCTTTGCAGTAGTAATAGAGTTAACGAGAGTGACTATCAAGCGAACAATTAAAGACCAAAGTTTAATTCCACCTTCTTGGAGTGGGTACCGGAATATGGCGTAGGTATGATATAACTACGTCCATAGCGGTAGCCAGTGCCCTGAGTCTGTCGAGAACCAGTATGTCGAATACAGGTTCCCCTTTGATGCCAGCATTAGCCTCCAGTACCGATTCCACTTCAATGCCAACAGCAGCCTCGAGTGCAGATTCCACTTTGGTTTCAGCAGCAGCCATCTACAAGAAAGGTCCGAAGAGAAAGTGAAACCCAAAACCGATTGTCCCTTATGTCAAAACATCACCTCGGAAGACATATTTACTATGAAGAAAGGCCTGAGTTCTGGCTTTCATGGACTCCCCTTTTGTTCACTCAGGACCTACTGCCTGGCGGTGCCCAACAATAGATGAAACACATAGTCACACGAAATTCCCCTTTCATACTCTGGCAGATTGGAGACACCCAGCAAAATGCATGGTGCTCTAAGCTCTACAAGCACCATTGAGAGACAGAGTTCAAGTAGAAGAGGAACTTGAAGAAGAGGTGGAAAAGGCCGCCTGGGGAGGCAGTGAAAGGGAAAGCAACAGAGGGGTAGGTGAGGGGCTAGAAACTGTGGTATAAGTGTGGATTGCCTTAGTAGACTGTACAGAGTTTGTAAATACTGCCAGTGAGCTTAATGGACTGAACTTTGCCCAGGGCTAGTTACCACACTTCATCTGATTCTTATATCGCCACCCCACCATCGCTTACTTAAGTCCCATTGCCACTCTCACTAACTCTATTACTACTGTAAAGGAACTTTTGTGCTATGTACGGGTAGATACGGTATAACCCAGACATCCGAACAACTTTAATACTAAAAGCTTTTCTTTGAATCTGTATAAACAACTCTATATCAACATGAACATCAACGCATATGCAGCAACTAAACACTTAACTGAGTTAGTAATCACGGTGCTATAAACGCTGAGTGCGGGTTCGAAACCCGCGCGCTGTGCTAATAAACACGGAATCACAGGCTCAAAACCTGCAGTGCTGTAAAACTGAGGTCGCAGGGTCAAAAATTGCTGAGATCACTCTTTTGTCCTTTTTACGGGCCGTTTACTTAAGGAATAACGCTCTGCAGTTGGCTACACAATGTAAATTTACCTGACCATGTCCGAATTCAATCCATGTATAACAGCTGAGAATTAAGCTTAGCTAGCGGAGTATGGTGTTATAAACACCAGGTGCAGGTTCGAAACCTGCAGTGCTATAAGCACAGGTTATAAACTTGCAGTGCTAAAACACTCAGATCGTAGGCTTCAAACCCGCAGAGTCTAATCTTTAATTTTGCCTTCTCTTTACTGGCTGAATAACGCTACGGTGCTTTCCCGGGAACCGTAGACTGAAAATTCACATGACCATGGCTGAAGTCAAGGCATATACAACAGCTGAGTACTTGGCCTAGCCGACATGCATGGTACAGTAAACACCCTCTTCACAGGGAAAATCTGTAGAGTTCACTATTTGCTCCTCTTCTGTCCAGCCATAATTTAGTAACCATAACTTCTACCAGAACGGAGAATTTTATGGGTTATGCTTGGAATTTTACATTACAGTACCATATATGAAATCAATGCCTACCTATTCACAACTGAGCTCTTATACTTAGCTTAAGTGGTGCTAGAAACACTAGGTGTTGCAAACACCGAGTACGGGTTTAAAACCTATAAACAATAACGTCGACTCCTACAGGCTCGAAACCTGAGAATACTCTTTTGCTCTTCTCTGTCTGGCCTTAACTCAGCGAGACCCTACTGAAACAAAAATACTAAGGGCTTGGCCTATGAGTTATATGCTATGTAGAATGTAGAAGCTTTACATAACCATGGTTAAAATTAGCTAACATATAATAACTGATTGCTAGTTTAAATGGCGAAGACTGTTAAAAACACGCCATGATTCCACAGGTTCAGGTTCGAAACCTGCAGTGCTAAAAACACAGAGATCCGCAGACTAGAATCCTGTCGATATCCTTCTTTTGTTCTTTTACCTGACTGCAACCCATCTGATATTATACCTAGGCTTCGTCGGATGTTGTGTGCAGCTATAGAATTTTACGTTATGTACCTTGGCCGGAATCAGCGCATATACAACTTATCACTGGCTTGAGGGTGTTAGAAACACCAGCTGGCCAGGCTAGGCATGGGTTCGAAACCTGTAGTGCTGAAAATACTCAGATTCGCAGGCTTAAAACCTACTGTACTGTAAACACTAATCTAGTGTCACTGGTTCCGAACTTACGGAGATAACTATTTTGTGCGTATAGTACTGTTGCAAGCCTGTGTAAGTTATATATATCGCCAGAGGAACTGTATGTTTCCACTAATCTAAATTGTACATAGGGGTAGACCCACTATGGTAGAGTACATGAAGTCACGTGCTGGTTTGGAGGCCGGATGGGTTGACATGTTAACAGTCAAGAAAAGATTGTATATTTAATCCACATCGCTCTCTTCAACCTCATCCTCAGACTCCCCATCACTCTCACTGTCCCTGTCCGAAATAGCGCCTCCACATATAAGTCCCCTTACGACATCCTCGCCGTTCTCTTCCTCATTTTCGACCTCCACCTTATACTTCTCCCACAACTTCAGATCATTACCAGTACGCGCAGCCATCTGCTTCTCACCAAACCCATGCCCACTCCGCGGCACAGAATGAGGAACCGAGACAATCTCATCATTCGAAAACAGTTGTCGTACGTCTCTGCTCGTAGTGGTTGGGCTCGTAATCAGGAGTTTAAAGATCGCATACATGCTGTTTCCACGTGCCAATTTGACAAGCCGGTCTATAACGGCGTGCATGGCATGGACTCGCTGGCTGGTCTCAAAGAAGTTTATGCCATCGATAATGCAAAATAAGACAACCGTACTCTCCAGCCGCCCCACTAGATCACAAAGCAGGTCGCATATACTTTCGAGCTCCTCGTTTTCAATCTTTCGGACATCGCCAGGTTTAAGGAAAGAAGTATCGAAGGAGTCCTGAGATAGGAGTTGAACGAGTAAGCTCTTAATCATTCCATAAGCACCTGAGAGCGGGTCTTTTGGTTCGGTATGGCGGCCGCAGAAAAAGTAAATGACCCGGGTCGGATTTAGGTGCTCTAAGCTCTCCACAAGCATCGAACATAGGTATGAAACTGGCGATATTTTTGCCGACTCGTAGTTACCGTGCACAAGTCGTACCTCGGAGTATCGTGACGTTAACCATTCTTTCAATTTCTCGGACTTCATAAGCCAGGCTGCTCGGTCTTGAACGGCCATCTTCATTGCCCTGCCAAAGTGAGCACAATGATGTCGGTCTTTCGTTGCAGTATCCGAGCTCTTGTGCAAGATTTCAACCAATTCGGATTGCGCAATATAAGGCTTCGGGGCAGGTGACGGGGTGCGAGACCGTAGTTGAACGTCATGAAGTTGAGCCTCCAGAAGAGCTTTTTGTTTTGTTAGCTTCTGAATTTGCGCCTTTCTTGCGTTCGCTTTCTGCTTTAAGCGTTTTCGCTCGGCACGAAACCCTAGTGATTGTTAGCCATCGCAGTGAAAGATTCAGATCTGCTTTATGATGTGGACCAGACATTCAGAGTTTTCGACATTGTCTCGCAAGACAGAGAGAAGGGGATTCAGGGAGTTCAGGGAGTTCTGCATCTTGTCCACTTTATTACTGACTTCTGCTGTCTGGTAGATTTCTACACACGCGAACTGATCAGAATTACTTTATTTGCACGAGTTAGAGGAATTCGTGCACTCACGGAAGTGAGATTCTATTTTGCTTGAGAGTTGGTGACATATTTCCGCCTGATGTATTAGGTAGTTCGCTGCTTTATCGATGTCTCCAAGCTTTTCTTCGAGGGATTTCTCATATTCTGCCCCCAGAAAAACCGATTTCACATGTCTGGCTATAATAAAACTGTCAATTTCCAAGGACCTACTGAGACAAACATTTTGGAAGTACTTTACCCGCCTTTTCCGTGTAGTATCTCACAGCCTCTTCAAGTGCTACTAATATTTTCAGATACAACTGTATAGTCGCATGATGAATTTTCTTCTCCGAAGGGTGGATCTGAAGGTAGTCCTCTATATCTTGTAGCTTGTTAGGTAGATCATCTACCAATCGCGCAAGATCGCCTCGAACTTTGCTCGTACGAATTGCAGCCTGTCTATCATGTCAATAAATCTACCAGTTAATAGACTGGAGATAGACACACGTCAATGAGAATATTCCCACCCGCAGTTAATATGGATGTGTAGGTTCCGTTCGGAATGAAGGCTATATAAGGCTTTGCAGCGTTACCACGATCTCCAGCCTTTCTCAACCACTTTCTGAGTTCACCACGGACACCCTTCGCGTCCATATACCGGTCTCTTGCATCATTGACTTCTTTCTCTACCTCGCACCACGAGTGCTTATCTCGGATTCTCAAAGGAGCGTCGATAGAGTGCTTTGGTTCTTCGGTTGTGGTTCGAAAAAGTTCAAGTGCTTTTGAAAACAGCGATTCAACATCGATATGTTCTTGTGCTGAAACTTTCACAGGGTGCGTGGAGTTGTCTTGAGAATCGACCGTGTATTTTTTGAGACGTGGATCATAATGGGTTAATGGATTGCCTAAACTTGAATGATATTCACCCCGATGGTTGTCAAGAAAGTCAACCGGGAGCTCGTGAAGGCGGATCTCGGGCGGTGATACCGAACTGCTGCTTTCCATGGTCCAACTGTTGTGAGAGGATGAGAGGTGGAAGTAGTATTTCGAGTATCTCTAGATCTCCGATTGAGAGCGATAGTGGTATTAGCAGTAAGAGACGCAAATAAGAGCCTCAGCTCGTGTCTAGTGTTTC